GACATCCATTATTAAAAGCTACTTTATTACATAGTTAACACCTCAAAGATATGGAGAATATAAGTATCTCCCAAACCAAGCAGATTTATAAGAAAACAGAGCATCTACCCCTATGCCCTGGGAACACTCCAGTCTTGTAGCACCAAGCGGCAGGGAGAGCATGAGGGTAAGAATGACCCCAGGGTTGTTCCTTGGAGGCCTGCTGTGCCTTCGGTCTGCAGTGAGAGGACAAAGGGACCTCTGCACTGATGGAGTAGAGCCCAAGGGAGCCCAGATGGTCACCCCTCAGAATCTGAAGGAATACTGTCTGTCAATGCTGCTTCCTGGCTCCCTGTACCTCTACCCACATTCCCCAGAATTGCAGTTTCTCCCTTCAAATGACCAGTGTTCTCCCTTCAAATGACCTGAGAAAGAATGAAAATGAGGGTGGCTGGCCTGGTGCCGTCACTCACTCCTGTAATCCCAACAATTTGGGAGGCCAAGGCGGGAGGATCATCACTTGAGCCCAGGAGTTCAAGACCAGCCTGGGCAACCGAGCAAGACCCTGTCTCTCTTTTTCTTTTTTCTTTCTTTCTTTTTTTCTTTTCTTTTCTTTTTCTTTTTTTTTGAGACGGGGTCTTGCTCTGTTGCTCTGGCTGAAGTGCAGTGGCGCAATCTTGGCTCACCGCAACATCTGCCTCCTGGGCTCAAGAGATTCTCCTGCCTCAGCCTCCCGAGTAGCTGGGACCACAGATGCACGCCACCCCACCTGGCTAATTTTTGGTAGAGACAGGGTTTCACCACATTGGCCAGGCTGGTCTTGACCTCCTGAGCTCCAGTGATCCCCCCTCCTCGGCCTCCCAAAGTGCCGGGATTACAGGTGTGAGCCACTGCACCTGACCTGTCTCTTTCTTTAAAAAAAAAAAAAATAGAAAGGAAAGATGGGTGAACTTGGGCAACATGCCACAACCTCGCCTTTACGAAAATTACAAAAATTAGCCAGGCATGGTGGCACACACCTGTGGTCCCAGCTACTTGGGCAGCTGAGGTGGGAGAATTGCCTGGGCCTGGGGAGGTAGAGGCTGCAGTGAGCCGTGGTCTCACCACTGCACTCCAGCCTGGGCATAAGAGGGAGACCCTGTCTCAAAAAAAAAAAGAAGAAAAAGAAAAAGAAAAGAATAGGGGTAACCTTCCTATAACACTGAGGGTCGGACTCTGAGGGGCCCTCTCCCACCTAGGCTGTTAAGGATCTGAGGAGACCCTGTCAGGCTGCACTCATGCATTGGAGGGAGAAATGACCCCCATTTTGGATGGAAGCTCATGGCCTCAAGAGCTTCCACAGGGCTCCATTTTGTACAATCCACTCAGGAACTACTTTTCAGGGTGTACCACGCTCACCACAGTATCCTGGGGTGGGCAAGTGACCACCCCTCACTTTCTTGGGCCATGAGTCACTTTCTGTGAGGGCTGCTTGGCCTGAGCCTGCTATGGCCATGGTTGCCACACCTGTGGAGAGCTCACCTGAGAAAGAAGCCCGTGTGGAGGAAAGCAGCTCTGAGAGAAGGGAAGAGACAGATTCCCCAATAATCATTTGCAGGCCTGGATTTAGACATGCCTGAAGGCGCCTACCCTTGGACTTTTCAATTATGTCAGGCAAAATACACAAAATAGGCATTTTTGCTTACTTCAGTTTAAGTTAGGATTGTGCCTTTTATAACAGAGTTCTAACTAATGACCCCTAATACTCATCACTCACTCACTCATCCAACAAGTGTTCTGGGTGCACCCTTTGTGTACCGAGCACTGTGCTGGGCACAAAGGCTGCCCCATTCCACCCAGAGGGATGGGGCGGGGTCAGGCCCATGGCTTAGGTATCAGGAATGAAACAAACCACTTTCCAAAGACCATTAATGCTCGTTGTTCAAAAATAAAGCAATATTTGCCTTCCTCGCCGTTAGCTCCGATTCTGCAGTGGGAAACAAGATCTTTTCTTTCTCTGCTCCTTGTTGGCTGTCTTACATATGGCCCTTTGATGATACATCCTTATCTTGATGGGTCTACAGGTGATGAATAACCAAATACATTCAACAGTTCCTCAGACATTCACTGAGTGCCATCTGTATGCAAGGCCTTGAGCTAAGTGTATGAACCCTCGGGACAATGTCTTCTGCAGATACCACTCCCAGAGAAAACAGAACCAGCCCACGGCAGGGCACACCATACATGGTGTACTAGCCATAAGGAGGCATTCCCAAAGGCAAGGCTCCCTTTTTCAGGGAACTAGGATGGAGGGGGCGGCTCAGCTTCATGGACTCTGGGTCTGGAGGTTCCTGTTAACTCCTGCTGGAGGAGCTGGGCTGAGGGTAGGAGATCCTTGTCTGACCTTAGCCCCACCAATGTCCAGCAGAGCGACCTTGGGCCAGTCACCTCCATTTCTTATTTATAAGATCAGCGTTGAATTCACTGACCTCATCCTTCTGGTTCCTTCCTATATTTTGTCTCTGTTCTTTTACAGTCTCTAGATGATACAAAATTCATACAGGTCCACAATCCCTAAGCTACCATTTTCATATCCCAAATGCTCTGAAATCCAGAAATTCTTTTTGGGGGCACAGGGCGGGGGGAGACTTACTTGGCAGCGAACGCTGGCCTGAACTGACATGAGGCTATTTATAGTCTTTATTATCCCAGTTAGTGTGAATATTTATACACTCCACCACAGGAATATTAATGGGTTTACAGGGTGCTGAGCCAGGCTCCACTAGGAATGTTCTGTAATATACAAAAGAGGCATCACATTGCACATTTAAAAAAAAATTTTTTTTTTAGTTCTCTAGAACTTCTGGCCCCAGCAATTCTAAGTAAGGTTTTATGGATGTGTGCTAAGATCACCGTGCCTGCAGCCAAGGTAAACTGCAAGGATCCATGAAGAAGCCAGCTTGTCTCCCAGCTTGTCCAACCTCCACCTTTCTTGTCCCATGACCCTGTCTCCCAACCTTTGTGAATAGCATTGTCCCTTGTCTATACAATTCCATCTAGGCTGGACATGCTTGTCTGATAGTGGTTCTAGCTAGGACTATTTCTGGTTGCATTTTTCCTTCATGAAAATATTCCCTTCCCTTTGGGGCCCTGTTATCTGCAAAGGATCAGGAGCTGATGAAATAGAGTAAGTCATATAAAGAATGGACAAGCCTATTAGTTCACCTTCCATGGATGAAATATCTACATTTGTAACAGATGTATTTTTTTTCACCTTTTATTCTTCTTTTTCTTTCTTTCTTTCTATTTTTTTTTTCTTTTGACAGAGTCTCACTCTGTCGCCCAGGCTGCTGGAGTGCAGTGGTGCAATCTTGGCTCACTAAAATCTCTGCCTCTTGTACATAAGCCTCCCGAGTAGCTGGGATTATAGGCACCTGTCACCATGCCGGGCTAATTTTTGTATTTTTGGTAGAGATGGGTTTTCACCATGTTGTCCAGGCTGGTCTTGAACTCCTGACCACAGGTGATCTGCCTGCCTCAGCCTCCCAAAGTGGTGGGATTACAGGCATGAGCCACTGCACCCAGACTACTTTTTTGTTCTTAATTGTGGTAAAATACACAACTTAAATTCTTACCATCTTAACATTTATTTATTTATTTATTTATTTTATATTATATTATTTATTTTTTATTTTTTTATTTTTGAGATGGAGTCTCACTCTGTCACCCAGGCTGGAGTGCAGTGGCCTGATTACAGCTCACTGCAGTCTCGAACTCCTGGGTTCAAGCAATCCTCTCGTTTCAGCCTCGTGAGTAGCTGGGACTACAGGCATGAGCCACCACACCCGGGTAACTTTGTAATATTTTTGTAAAGATGAGGTCTTGCTATGTTGCCCAGGCTGGTCTCAAACTCCTGGCCTCAAGTGATCTTCCTGCCTCTGCCTTCCAAAGTGCTGGGATTACAGGCATGAGCCACTGCGCCCGGACTATCTTAGTCATCTTTAAGTGCACAGTGCAGTAGTGTTCAATGTATTCATGTTGTGCTAATCTTCAGAACATTCTCATACCTAATACACAACAACTCCCCATTTCCCCCTCCTCCTCGCCCCTGACAAACACCATTCTACTTTCTGTCTTTATGAAGCTGACTACTCTAGATGCCTCATGGAAGTGGAATCACACAGGAGTTGTCTTTTGGTGATTGGCCTATTTTACTCAGCTTGATGTCCTCAAGGTGCATCCATGCAACAGGATCTCTCTCTGTCTCTCTGTCTCTCTGTCTCTCTGTCTCTCTCTCTCTCTCTCTCTCTGTCTGTCTCTCTCAGTCTTTCTTTTTAAGATGGAGTCTTGCTCCATCACCAGGCTGGAGTGCAATCATAGCTCACTGCAGCCTTAAACTCCGGGGTTACGTGATCCTCCGTCCTCCCGCCTCAGCCACCCGAGTAGCTGGGACTACAGATGTGCACCACCATGCTCAGCTAATTTTTTAATTTTTTTGTAGAGATTGGGGGTCTCCCTAAGTTGCCCAGGCTAGTCTTGATCTCCTGGCCTCAAGCAATCCTCCCTCCTTGATCTCCCAAAATACTAGGATTACAGGGCATGAGCCATCGTGCCCAGCCAGGATTTTTCCTCTTTCTAAGACTAAACAACATTCCATCGTATACAGCACATTTTGCTCCTCCATTCATCCATCATGGGAACCTGGGTTACTTCCACCTTCTGGCCATTGTGACTAATGCTGCTATAAACATAGGGGCACTCTAACATGTTTCTAAACCTCTCAATGTACACCCCCTTATGAGTAGAGCATTTTGATCCCATCTTTCTCTGCCATTATAACCCCACAGAGAAAGGGAAAGCAATGTTGGCTAGAGGGAGAAGGAGTTTCCCCAGAAGAGAGGAAGGGAGAATCTACCTTCTCTGCCCCATGGATTCTAGAAAGAGGAAGAAGGCTCACCTCAGTATCCACACTACCCTCCCAGGGAAGGTGGAAGAGAAAAGAAAGATGAATGTTCATGGGCATGGGGCTTGAACTTCCCTACCTGAACAAACATCCAGAAGTGGGCAGACTCTTTAGATTCCAGTGGGTAGAGTCGGGAAGGTTGTTGGGCTGTGGGAATGGTGCATGGGACTTGGTGGCTTGCCTTCCGGGACTTGGCAGGAGATGACAACAACGGTCACTTCTGAAGTGTCTTGGGCAGCAGTGTAGCAGCAGTAAACAGTGGCTGGGAAGATAAGCGTGAGCCAGTGCCCTTGGCTTTTTGCAGCAAAAAGTTCAGGGCACGATAGGGCAGAAGATGCTTTAAGCCCTGATGGATGAACAGAAGCCTGGAGTCAGGATGAAAAAGTCCCATGCATGGGGACCATACCACCATGGGCAAATGACCAGGCCACAGGCTGCAGCAGTGGAAACTAAGATAGCCCTAAAAGACAAAAAGGGGCTGGTCACCCCTTCACAGCAGGGAGCAGATTCCGGCAGTCACACTGCCACAGGCTCAGGCGATCATCCTGCAGATCTCACGAGTATTCAAAGTCCCCTCTCCCCACTGCCTTGAAGACACAGTCAGCACCTGTCTCCACACACAGCCATCACTCTTTAGGAAGGACAGAGGAGGGGCAGAGCAGTCCCTAAGGAGACTGCACCTCCCAATAGGGACTCTTTAACGCAGCCTGGAGAGAATCTGACTATTACATTGCAAGGAGACAGAGCCTAGTAGGTGCCATCGGTGCCATGTCCAGGTCTCCTGGACCAGTTGGTGCACCCAGCTGCTACCAGTGTTGCGGGGATCCTCAATGTGTGGTCGTGGCTTTCTCTGGACTGTCACCTCTGCTGTGGAAGCTGCTACACCTGGAGACACCTGGGAGGTTGCAAGGCCCAGCCCCCTGCCTGAGGGCAGCTAATGGCCTGTGGATGCAGAAGCACAAAACCCTAACTCCCTTGTCTCAAGGTGGAGCCAACTGTCTGGTACCATTCCGGCTCCAGAGCCCCCCAGGGGGTCAGGCAGAAGCTGAGTGCCCCGGTCCACACCTCTCAGCTCCTCCCCTGCCCTCTCCTGCTTCCTTCACCAGATCAGGGGCACTGGAACCCAGGTCTCAGGCTCTGCTTCCAGGGAACCCCACCCAACACATACACAATTTGCAGCTACTCTGTTCTTACCACATTGTGTGGAGGTGCCTAAGAATAAAGAATCGTATTTTCTTTCTACGGGTAAGTGTGGTGAGAGTGAATCTGTAACTGACTCCACTGTGTAGTTAAACAATGTCTTCAGGCAAAAGTGACTCTCATGAGGGCTTTACAGGCCCTGGAGGGGATCCCGGGGAAGGCCATCTGGGGGCAGGCAGTGGCTCCACGCTGGCCTTTGCCTGCAGGACGGTTGCTGTGCTGATCTCTAACCCAGACCTCCCAGGAGGTTTGTTCTCCGTTCCCACCAGAGTAGTGTTGCCAGATTTAGGTCATAAAAATGTCAGATGCCCAGTGAAATTTGAATTTCAGATAAACACTACATAACTTTTTAGTATAAGTATGGCCCAAGTATTTCCCAGACTGTACTTATACAGAAGGGGTTTTTTCTTGTTTATCTGAAATGTAAATTTCACTGGGCATCCTGATTTCATCTGGCGGCGCCCCTGCCCCCGCCACAACATTCCCACACAGTCTGACTCAGCAGAAGCCCCCAGATCTGCCCACACACCCAGCCCTGGGCTGCCAGGGAAGCTGCAAGGGTCCGAAGTTCTTTCTGCTGGGATTCCACTCCTGGCTCAGCCGCCGTTAGGCCGGCCGGTTATTCTACCCACTCTGGATCTGATGAAAGCCACAGACTGTTGAGACTCAAAGCTAAGGTGGAAACAGGATGATAATACCCAGCTTGGGAGATCACTGCAACAGCCTGTCACTCAGAAGTCACCTGGGAGGCAAGCACTAGTCTCGATGTCAGCTTGTCCCTGCTCACATGGAAAGAAGTCTGGTGCCGGCCTGGGCTCACCCCGGGACTAGAAACAGAATAAGGATCACAGGCAAGCAGGAGAAATGGAACCAAACTGAGCTGGCGAGTAAGGGGGCTCACGGTAACCGAGCACCTACTACATGTCTGCGTCTGTATGGCCATTGTCACACAGAGTCCTCAAAAACAGTTCTGCAACGTTAGAGAATTTGTCCTATTTTAAGAGATGTGAAAATGGAGGCCCAAAGAGGCAAAGGGGGCCATCTATCTAGTAAAAGGCGGTGATAAGCTACAGGCTGAGGTCTGGGTGGTTCCAAAGCCCAGGTCTTCCCTCTCCAGGACAGGAGTCAGAACAACAAGGACAGTTTTAGCAGATGCTGTCCCTGCCTTGCCTATGTCCCCCCAGGGCTCACGGTTTCCATGGGGGGCTCTTCGCCCTGCAAGTGGGCAGGGCTGGGGACAAGACACCCTGGGAGCAGCCCTCGGCCAGGATGTGAGTAGGTGGGTAAGTATCCAGCCCCACACCCCTCAGGTGGCACAGCTCTGGGGCCTGTCCCACATTAGGTGATATCCAGACATCCCCAGCCGGAGGGAGCCCCCAGTGCTCATGGCAGTAACTGCTCAAGACCACCTTCCCTTTCCGGTCTCACATCCTCACTCCCTTCCTCATGGGACCAGGAACCCTTTCCATATCAACTACTTGCACTGCAGTTAGATTATCAGGTCAGCAACCGGGAAATCCACCTAAGAAAGCAGCTCATGCTTATCCAGGCTTACCAAGGCACCGTGCTAAGCTCCGCACCAAGATCATCTCATTTCATCCACCCACCTGCCCTTGGGATGAGATAGGTTCTATGATTATGCCATTTCACAGATAAGATAAATTAACTGACCTATGGCATTGCCAGGCCTCCAACCGAGTGGGCGTCAGCCTAGTATCTGTGTTCTCAACCACTGAGGTATTAATCAAGGCTTCCATTGAGCTTCTGGGCAATCATTTTCTCTCCTTCTAGCTTTGGACTGACTTCCTCTGCTTGGGTGCAAATATAAACAGGGGACGCAGCAGTCGGCTGCCCCAAAACAAGGGGCCATCTTGTGTACAGGTGGAGCTGTGCAGTGGTGCAGTGTTTTAAGCATTGCCTTCATTCCACTCATAGGATACTGAAGGCCCACGTGCCATGTATTCACCTCCCGTTCTTTGCTGGACAGAATGCCTCTCCCAAGATTTAATTTTCCTTCATTCCTCTGCTCTCACATTTTGTGCGTCCTGCCCTTGCCTGCTGGGCCTCAGCACGGTGGTTCTGGAGCCTCCTAAGGACCAAGGCAGCTGAGTTCCTCCAGCCCTCCAGGTCCACATGTCTCCGGATATGCAGGTGTGAGTATGTGCATCTCTGAGTCTCAGTTCAGAAATCCACTCTAAGTGACTTGCCTGATCTTCCCAAATGCAAAGACCTACTTAAGACCCTTTCAAAAGAAAGCTAGGCTTGTTGGCTCTGGCTTCGGAAAAGGGGCCTGAGCAAGAGTTCTATCTGTCTGATTTGTCTCCATTCAAAGCCAAATTCTCAAGGTTCTAAAGAAAGGATTTCCCAGATTGTCATTGCTTTCATTGATTGCATTATCACCTGAGCAGTATCTTGCAGAGACTACAGATAGGAGTTTCAGTAATTTCTAAATAGCTTTTGGTGTTTTATAACATCAGAAGATAAGCTTGCCATTTGTAAACATGGCCTTGGACAAACAGCATACACATATTCCTTAGGAGGAAAAGAATCTGAGTTTCTGGGCCTGGGAAAGGTGGTGTTCTGCCTCTACTAAGGGTCGGTTTCAACACTGGATTGTGGGGAAAGAGTTTAAGTTGGAAAAAAGATCTCAGTTTCAATGATCTTCTTAAAATCAGCCACCCTTTGAGCATCTATTAGAAGTTCAAATCATGGGTTGCAAATGAAAAAGCCAGAGGGACCAGGCAAATTAAAAAAATAAAGCAGTGAAGAAAACAGTGCAAGTGGCAAATGAGGACCAACATTGGACATCCACTGGGGAGGTCACAAAAGTGCTATGGACTGTGTAGCTGACTGTGGCCCCACACACCCCATCTAAAGGAGGCCACCCATTTCTGGAATGTGGGTCCCACGTGACTGGATCTTGTGAGTCTTTTCAAGAGGAGCCCAACATTTAGATTTTTATGTACTAGTACCCAATTTTTAAATGTTGGGAAATCATTCAAATATTCATAATGCTATGTGGACCCAACAAAACAAAGCCATGCCACAGTTTGCCTCTCCTGCTATGCACCTTCCTTCAGGAAAAATGTCCCCTTGCATATATAAATACAATTTGACATCATATTTCAGGCTTTTGTGGATCAGGGATCTCAGGTTTTTTTCTGTTCGTTTTTGTTTTTTTCAGACATATCACTTTGTCGTCCA